ATTTTAAGAAGACAAATGATCTGTACAGAGAAGGGAAAGGCTAATGGGCTGTTTCCAGCAGAAGTGACTTGAAGTGACAGTGACTGTAAAATACTGCATTTCAGCTTCTCAGTGAAGTGCACGGTCTCCTGCCATCACTGCACTGTCAGGGTCCAAAAGCCACTAAGACTACCCTCAGGCTTGCTAATTCTCTAGAAGGATGGGCAGAATGCCTGAAAACAGATGTGTTTATGGTTATATTTACTGCAGTAAAATCAGATGAAAGGCAGTTGTGTGAAGAGGTGGGGGGCAGAGCCCAGAAAAACAGGGGCTTCCTGCTCTTCCTTTCCCGCACAGCCAAGAATAGCATGGTTCCCTCCCAGCCACCATGTGTGGCACTTGCACTGAGTTTTGCAAACACAGGGTGCTGGCCAGGCCTTGGTAGCATCTGGACTGGGCTCCATGGTCAAATGCCCACCTGGTTGACCTCAGTCTCCAGCCATCCCACAGGTTGAACTGATTGGGTGACAAAGCCCTAAATCACAGTGGACATTTTAGTGTGGTTCAAGGGTTCACTCCATAAAGAAGTCATCAGTATGACATTCCCAGGGCTTAGTGATCTTTCACCAGGGGTGGAAGTCAAAGGCCAGACTCCCCACTGAGTAAGGTTAAAATCTTTACTACTTGAACCAGATATGGTGGTACAATGGATGAATCAGGAGGACTGCAAGTTTGAACTCACCCTGGCAACTTAGCAATTTAGTGAATCTGTACCAAAATTTAAAAAAATAAAAAAGGACTGGGGATATAGGCCCTCAGTTTAATCACCAGTACTGTGAGAAAACAAATCAAAAACCAAAAATAATCTAACCTCCACTCAAAACAAAGAAACAAAAAACACAAGTAAAAAAAGAAACAACAACCCCAATCTGCATTTTATTATATGCATGTACAGGAAAGTTTTCTTTTTGATAAGCTTACTAAGGTCAGTCTCTGATGTTGTTTTCTATTCGAGATAAAACCAAGCCATTGCTTCCTCAGTAGTGCATGCATTTTGTACAAATACTATCTGCTTGGAAAATTCTGTACTGTCAGCAGAGTGTGTCCTACAGTGTCTGTGCACTGACAGAAAGCTGTGGTGTGGGTCATGCTGACACCTAGCATCATCTGGAAGAGGTTTCCTAGGGGTCTCATCCTTGTCCTCGAAGCATTGAAGAGGAAGCTGCCATCAGAACAGCACTTTAATCTCTATTGTGGTTGATGGCAGTGCAGAACAGGGTCAGCAGCCTGGGACCCTGCACTCGATCCATCACTGTCACCTGTGCCACCTCACAGACCTGCTGCCTCCTCTCAGTCTCAGACATTAGTGTCTCTAACCTCCAATGCCACACCACATCTTCTGTCTAATGCCCCACTCTTACCCATTTCTTTTCTAAGATTCTTCCTCAACAAATTAGGCAGGTTACTCCTGTCTTTGATAAATATTTTTCTTTGGCTCAGTGAAGTCCCTATTTTCTGTCAGATGATTCATTTATTAGAATAAACACATATCAAAGATTTATTGCACTCATGATGGAGGGGACCAGTGAGTGGGAAGAGCTGCTCATAGGATTATGGGAGAGATGTGCGACATATAGTGGAGTTTTTCCTGGTAAATATCTTAAGTTGGAGATGTAGTTAGCACATCTGGTCTATTGGCCATCACAGCCCAGCAGCACAGCACACTGGGATGTTGCTTCCCTTGTGACTGATCTTAGTCACTTTTTCATCACTGAGATAAAACACCCAGCACCCACAATTTAAATAGGAGAGGTTTATTTGACTCATGGGTGTAGCCCATGGTTGGCTGTTCCAGAGCAGAATGGCATGGTAGAGGGAGACAGCAGAGCAAAGCTGATCACTTCATGATGTCCAGGACACGGAAAGCAAAGAGAGGAGCTGGGGAGGGAGATAAACTCTTCTAGGCCATGTTCCCACAGTGATCTGTCATTTCCTGTCAGACTCCACCTCCTAAGAGCAAATAAGCCCTAAATTCCCATAATTCAATCACCTTCCCAAAGTTCTAACCCTTGAGGGGCATCTGGATATCAACCATAACATGATCCATGGATGACTAGGCGTGACTGCTATCCAGACCTGGAAGAGTGTCAGACCTCATACTCCTAGCCTGGGAAAAGATCAGATTCAAAATTTGAAGTACCATTTCTACGAAATGCATGTCACTTTTGCACCACTGGAGAGTTGGAGCCATGACTAAACTGGGCTGTTCACAGAAGTATAGATCGCTGGCAAAGAGTGCTGGGCTGGATGGTGGGCTCACAGGCAGCACCTGGGCCTGCCTTCACCTCACCTTCTGGTCCAGCCTCCCCCTCTCTGTGCACTGGCTGCTGGTGGTGGGTAACATGGTACAGCTTTGCTGGAAATAGCGAAATCAGAATTACGGTTCTAATAATGTAGTGTGGTATAGTAGACCCAGAATCTTTTTCTGTGTTCCGTAAAATAAGCATGGGAAAAGCTATAGGCATGAAAATGCTTTGTGTGTACATTTATCTCTTCTGGAGGCAAAGTTTGTAGTTCTTATGCTAATCTCAAGAATGTGATCCCTGAAGTTGGGAATCACTGACCTCCAGATGGGCCAGAGATAGAGACTTTGCTCTTTTACACCCTGGCTCAGGTTGGTGGGATATATGATTGTCGGATAGTCGCCACTATGTGTAGAGTCAAATTCCATGGGACCTGCAACCGTGTTAAAGCCATAGACAGGGGTACTTATGGTTGCCAGCCCATTTTCATCCCACACAAAGATGCCAGTCTGAGATGTCCAAATCATTTATTTTGCCCAATATTATTTCAAATTGAGTTTTCCAAATGCTGCCATGGGAAAGGTGTTGATCACATTCTGCAAACTGCCCCATGAAATCTGCTGGTGGTTGGTGTTAGTTCTCTCCCAGGTGGGGGTGACAGCCCACATGGCAGGTCCTTTCCAACTTCTTTCATGTCTTTCCGCTTAACGTGAAGAATGGAAACACAAACTCTTCATTTTTATTTTTTACTCATTTTTATGATTTGGTATGCCTTTTCTCAAATTAAGCATGTTAGCACATTTAGATATTGATTTTCAATTGCCTTCCTATGTGAGATCAGTTTAGTTTTATATTACATATTCCTACAAGTCTCACTGAATTTTAGAAAAGCTTACCTTTTACATTCATTCTGGAGAATTAATTACAATTTTCAAACAGTTAACATGATTTAAAACCTTCCTCCCCAAAAGAGGGTAAAAATCAATAAAAGAGTAAATTAGAGCAAGAAAAGGATAGAGTGGAAAATAGGATGAAATTGTGGTAGGTTAGGCCACAAAAAAGGGCCATAAATTGGCTTTAAATGTTCTAGCAGCAAAGGAAACAGAATTTGCAGCATCCAGGAGGGGGAAAAAAAAGGAAAGATGTTTATCAGTAAGAGGTGAGACAAATATCCCTTCAGGTTTCTCCAGGGGAGATGACGGGCAAGGCAGGGGCCAGGTCAGCACTTCCAGGCTCAGTGAAGAGGCCAGGCCATGTTGGACAGAGCCGCTGTAAAATCAAGCACTAACGCCAAATGCAGCTCAGCAAAATCACTCCAGGAGGGCCAGAACAATGCTCTCGGAGTGCACTGCTTTCTAATGAATTGACCAGGAACAATTTATTTTTATTATCTATTATTTTTTTCATTAGCATATTTGTAGTACAAAATGTTTGTATTCCTTGGTACATGAACTAACACATCTTAATTCCTTTCTTCATCCCCCTCCATCTCTCAATCCCCTCCCATGTGAGAAAGATCTATCTCCCTACTTCCTATTATCTGTTATTTTGATCTTGATTTGTAATCTGAGTTTCTCATATCAGAGAAACCATGTAATATACAAACTTATGTGTCTATTTTTTTCACTTAACATTATGGTCTTAAGGAATATCAATTTTCCTACAAGTGACTCAAATTTATCTTTCTTTATGGCAGAGTAGAACTCTAGTGTGTAGATACCACATTTTCTTTAGCCATTTGTCTTAGCTATTTCCTTGTTGCTGGGACAAAATACTTGACACCCAAAGTTAAAGGAGGAAAGGTTTATTTCGCTCACAGTTTGTAGAGGTTTCAGTTCATTGTTGGCTGGCTCCAAGGCAGGGTGGCGTGGCAGAGGGGCATGCAGAGGAGAAACAGTTCATGGTGGGTGAAAGGCACCAAAATAGTGAAGTAGTGAAAAAAGAGCAAGCAACAATCAACCACAGCAGCTCTCTTTTTGTCCACTATATTCTATCTAGGCTACCTGTCCTGAGGGCAGGTGGCACTCATACCCAGGATGAGCCTTCTCATTATCCTCTCCCAGAACTGTGCCAAAAAATCAGTGGACTAATTTAATAATCAGACACCCCTGATCTCAGCATCACACTTAATCCTAGCATCACACACTTTAGATCCAGCCACCTCTAAAAAGCTTCACCTATGACTGCATGAGGCTTTGGGGGGGACATCTAGACACAAATCATAATGCCATTCATCTGTTGATGGACAGACTGTTTCCAAGATTTAGCTCCTATAAACATGGGTACACATGTGTCACTGTGGTATGAGGTTTTTTTTTTTTAACTCTTTCAGGAAGATATCTAGAAGGGGAATTGCTTAGTGAAACAGAATTTCTAGTTACAGTTTTTTTAGGAAACACCATATGAATTTCCATAATGCTTTTACTAGTTTACATTTCCACCAATGATGTAGAAGGGTTCCTTTTTCCCCAGAAAATCAAGCAATGGAATGTCTACCCATTAGGCAAACCTCCATCACAACTATTTCTTGTTCCCAATAGTTGGAGGTTCCATGTTCTGGGAAACTTGGAGTTTAGATGTTCTGTGGTGTGTAAGGGTGCTCATTCTTCCCTACAAAGATTGATATCCTGACCTATGTGTAGGTCAGGGACCAGTTTCCACACAAACTGCAGCCCAGCACCAGCACCAGGAGTCTACAACACAGAAGAAGGCAGTGAGTCAGTCTGGGTTTGCTTTTAATGTAGGCATTTCTCAGGCCAAACACTGCACACAGAATTCTTCATTCTGACAAATTGCCATGGTGATCACAGTGTTCTTCATTTAATAGCTTATTATCTAGCAGTCAAGGTAATTGGGGAGATTTTGTTTTTTTGTTAGATGGTTCCAAGAATGGGAACATCAGGGAAGGGGGAAGGGGACTGTTCTGGAGGAAGTCCAGGCTCTGTGCTGTGAATTTTAGAAGGAAAGGAAGAATGGCAACTTCCCTGCCTTCTAAAGGAAGGAGGCAGGCAGAAGGAATGAGGGGAGGAGGAAGAAAATGGAGACAGAAAGGAAGAAGAGAGGGAGGGTGAAGGACAGTGCACAATGGGCACAGAGAATGTTAAAATCCATCAGGGCTGGTGCTAGCAGGGAAAAAGAGGTGGTGAGGGGGAAAGGGCAGAGGCTCAGCTGGCAGACATCTAAGTCCCAGGCTTAGTAGCATCTTAGTGAGAAGGTGGGCTGGAGCCCAGGTCAGGATTTGTGGCTGGTGAGTCTCACATTGAACACCACCCCTCAGTAAATGAAAGGACTCCATAAGCCCCTGTGCTCAGGAGTGGACTTCTATATGGAGACAGTACATGGATTGTATTCCAATTCTGTGGCCTCTGCCATCAAGGAAGTTCTAGCATCTGGCTGGGGGCATTTCTTCAGACTTCTTGGTAGGAACTCAAGCCAAATATGCCATGTTCAATGCACACTTTTGGTTTTTCTTGTGGTTAGTATGGCCTGGAGAAATGAGGCTATGAATGTTAGGATTAACCTAGTCAGACAAACACTAGTTTAAATCTCTGTATTAAAGTACTTATCTGAGCTAGGCATGGTGGTGCATGCCTGTAATCCCTGTATTCTGGGAGGATGAGGCAGAACTACAAACTAGAGACCAGGAAGGACAACTTAGTGAAACCCCAAATCAGCATAAAAGAAGAGCTGGGGATGTAGTTCAATGTGAAGGACCCATTTAATCCCTGGTCCTGACCCCCATCACCTCCAGAAAAAAGGAGGCCCACGAGTATATTCTCTTATATGAGAATTTCTGGCTGTGTCTGCTGCCAACAATGGAGAAAGGGGCAGTGAAACAGTGCTGAATTGTTGTAGCAGGTTTGTTTATTAAGCCCTTTGTCTTTGCCCTCATTTAGCAGTCTGGGTCCTCCAGAGTGCTCTGCGCATTGAGATCCACTCCTGGATCTCAGGTATAGCTCTCCATCAGCTTTTAATCAGCAAGCCCCTGAATGCTCAGTTAGGTCTGACCTGCTGCAGACCATGGTTTGGTTCTGGTCTCTGCTCTCAGCAGATCTACGAAGAGCTTTGATATTTGTGACCACATTCCCATCTGGATACTGTATCTAGCCAGCCCCCCACTGAGGGAGCAGAGAGAAAGGAAATGGGTACATGAAATATTGTCTACATATGCACACACCTCAGCCTCAGAGGCGGCACTGGGATGGCCCTGTTTCTGGGAGAATGGAAGTGCCATCAGCAGAGATTAAGAATTAAGAAAGAGATTGGTGGTGGTGGGATCAGAAAAGGCAGGCATGGATACCGAGCAGGAGGTATTCACAAGGTGCGCGGGAACAAGAACACAATGGCCAGGAGGTTGGAAGAGTGGCCTGGACCTCCAGGGAGGTTTAGACATTGAGGCATCTATTTGTACCTCTGCACATTGAGATGGTCCACAGGGTAGGCAGCCATATGCTTTGCAGAGGTGACACATGCAGACAGCTAACCCTGCTAACCCCCACCCTCAGCAGAACACAAGTGTAGGGAGAGCCCAGCACAGCCTCAGAATCACAGGAGCTCAGAGTTACAGTTGCTTTACACCACTAGGCTCTATGGTGAGTCACGGAGCAAGTTAAGACACATTGGGCTGTGCATTTTTTCAATGGGCGCTCCTCACCCTTTCTTCCCATACTAAGTATTTGATAAGGTTCTTTTGGTTGCAAACATCATAAACCAAAAGAGCCAGCTTTTCCATGAGAAAGTTTCCGAGAACTGCCAAGGACGAGAAGGAAGCTTTCTAGGGAGAAGGGAAATCAGTCTCTGGAGTCGTTCCCGCAAAGAATGGTGCTAACACCTCCAGACCTGGTCACTTTGGGCTCTCAGGAGAGACAGTAGGGCAGTCCCCTGGGCAGGATACACCACGGTATTTCAGCCGAGATGGGGGCAGAACTTGGAGACATTCGAGGCAGGTAGTGCTGGATCCCTGAGATGCAGCCACCCTGCAGAGCTGGGCCTTATCTAGAACTGTCACAACATTTTTCCTTTCCAATCTTTCTGCAGCAACTGTTTATCAAGGCTCTTTTTTCCTTTCCAGTGTTTCTGCAGCAACTGTATCAAGCTGATTTTATAACAGGGGAAGAACTATTATGCAGCAGCTTTCAACACTAACAACTGCCAGTAACATTGTACATAACTGCAAGACACAGAAAAATCAGTTGAGGGCTGTGTGTGTGTGTGTGTGTGTGTGTGTGTGCATAAGCGACCCTGAGCAGAGAGCAAGGTTTTGATTTGTATTTTAACACACGTTAGTGTGTTGATTCAAAAAGAAAGATGAGCTGAAAGCCAGAGTAACAGGTGTTCCGAGCACAGAGGAAGAGACAGGCCAGGAGCCTTTTTAGGGACACGTGCAAGGCCACAGCTTGGAGGGTCGGGTGGCTCCTGGGCATGGGTCCCTCTCAACACCAGGCCCATCTCGGGAGAATGGTGTGTGTGGGGGGGCTTCCTCCGCCAGAGCCGAAGCTGGGGCGCGGGCCAGGCGCACGGGGAGGTGTCGACTCCCAGTGGGGCGGTGCCTTCGCCTCCGGCTGCAGCAGGGTCCCGGACGCCGGCGACATCTTGCCGAAGAGCGGCGATAGTGATCGAGCTCCAGTTGCTGCGTCCTGCAACCCGAGTGAGACCCGGGATAGGGGAGGTGACGCCGCACTCGCCCGGAGCTGCTTCCGCCCGCCACCCCGCTTGGCCAGGACAAGCCGCCTCCGCCTTTCCTACCCTCCGTCCAGTCCCCGCCCCGGATCTCCCGGCAGAGGACGCCTACGCGGGGCCGCCCCGCCCGCTCCGCGCCGGACCCCGCCCCCTCGCCGTCCTCCCCCTCCGCCCTCGTCCTCCCCCTCCTCCACCCTCCCCCGCTCCGCCCCCTCCCTCCCCCTCCGGGCGGGGCTCGAGTTTGAACTGAGCGGCGGGCCGGGCCGGGCGGGGTGGTCTCCGTGTCGTGAGTTCCGCGAGCGACGCGTCGCCAGCTGCGCGCTGCACCATGTCCCCGGGCAGCGGGGTGAAAAGCGAGTACATGAAGCGCTACCGGGAGCCGCGCTGGGACCAGTACGCGTCCTGCTACCGCGAGCTGCTGCGCTACCGCCTGGGCCGCCGGCTGCTGGAGCAGGCGCACGCGCCCTGGCTGTGGGACTCCTGGGGCCCTGACGGCGCCTCGGACGGCTCGGCCTCTCCGGCGTCCGACCCCTCGCCCCGGTGCGCGCCTGCCTCGCCCGTGGAGGCCCCAGAGGCCGGGGAGGCCGGGGAGCGGGGTGCGGAGGCTCCAGAAGCCGCGGAGGCCCCGGAGGCCGCGGAGGCCGGGGGCACGGAGCCCCGGGACCAGCAGGACGCCGTGCTGCCAGGTACCTGTCCGGGGGCGCGCGAGGTATGGGGTGGGCGGCCGGCGCGGGCGGCCGAGCTGCCCGGGGGGATGCGCTTCCTGTTTCGCATTTTGGTTAGCTTTCAGGTTTTGTTTTGGTTTGCTCGGGGGACGGAGAACGCGCCTCCCCCGGTCGCTGGAGGAAGGCGTGGCCGCCTGCGCCCTCTCCGCCGAGTCCCTGGGTGGTGGGCAGGAGCTCCGAGGGCTGCTGGGTCGGGGCCTGCCTTCGCATGTTGACTTTGCGCGCCCCTCGCGAAGAGGACCACGGGGCTGACCTCTCCTTCTTGGGGTCCAACCCCCTGCCCTCGGGTCTCTTGTCAACGCGTAGGTGCCCTCCGCTTCTTGCCCGCCCGGGCACTACCTCCCGTCACCCGGCGCGGAGCTGGGGCGCTGGTGCCGGGCGCAGTGCCTGGCGCGGTTTGGGTGGTGGGGTCCTTCTCGGCGCCCAGGTTGGGAAGCCTTCACCGCGAGGTTCCCGGACTCTAAGCAGGGACACTGAAAAAAAAAATAGCAATTTACTGACAACCTATTCTGTATTCCCTCACCGATCTGTATTTTCTCATCCAGTGTTCAAAACAGTCGTGAGATGTAAGGGCACAGTGTTAATCTGTTTCTATATATGAAGAGATGCGGTCTCGGGATGCATGAGCAGTCTGAGGAGATGAAATTTTGACTGTTGAGTCACAGTGACTGCGGTTGGTCACTATGTTCAGGTTCTCACATCATCCCTGATGGAGCGGCCTACTGTTATGTCGCGCGAGTCTCCACCATCTCTGATGCTTGCGCGATCCTTGCTGGAAATCAGCGCAGCTGACTGACAGCGAGGAAGCTCAAGGGCCGCGCGGCCACTCCTGTGTGAACGAGCCACCTGCTCAGTTAGGAGATGTACCATGTCAGGCTGAACGGGCTTCTCTTCCCTTCGTTGTCAATGAAGGAGCTGCAAATTGCAGTGGCAATACCCAAGCTGTTTAGGTGGCACCTTAGAACCGAGGGTACCTGTGACGTGCGCCTTGAGTTCCTGACTGGTGTACGCTGAGTGCTTTCTGTGGAGATACGGGCTCCTCCCCATGGACTGGCAGTGCTCTGCAAAAAATTCTAATTTGGGCATCAGGGAAAAGAAAGGATGTTTTCTTTCGGAACTCAGTATCACAGGCTTCCATTACTTCTTCCTGCAAAGTCCCTGTCAATTCTTGCTTTGGACAGGATTACTCCCTCCCCCCACCTCACCATCGAACCCGGGGGTGCTCCATCACCAAGCTACATCTCTAGCCCTTTTTATTTTGGGTTAATTATGATACAAGGTCTTGCTAAATTGCCAGGCAGGACTCTTGTGAACCTTCTGCCTCAGCTTCCCTGTTGCTAGGATTTGGCCAGGGTGCTAAGTTTTTAAAAACTGTTTTCAAGTGGGTGCTTTTAAATATTAGAGTGATGACCACTCTTTGGGGTTGGTATAAAAAACATTAAATAAGAAAATAATTTACGGAAACTGTATACAGCTTATTGCAAAAATATAGTGATCCTCACCCATACACGCATGCCAAGTTCTGCTTGTTGGGTGACTGTTTTCCGCTTCTGGCTTTTTTCAAAGCTGCCCCACCTTGCATGTCATGATTCCTTTTTCCTTCAGCCAACACACCGGGTTGGTTCCTTGTCACAGTCATCTCATCTTGTCCCTCTGGGGCCTCCAACCTACTTCTGTCTGGCCTGGCTGCTGCCTTGGCCCTGCTGCCTGATGGTATCACCTCTAGCACCGCCTGGCTTCCGCTTGGCAGTAGCCACTACCATGTGGTCACTGCCGTCTTTCTCTTGGTCTGCTCCTCCATGGTGGGGCTCATCTTCAGGCTGCCTGAGATGACCTAGAGCCTGGTTTTCTGAGATCTTCATCAGAAGACAGCTTTACTCCACTCTCACAGTTGTGGCTGGTTGAGGAAGTCTGGGACAGAAGTAATTGTCTCTTGAAAAATGCAAAGGTGTTGCTCCACTCTTTGCCTCCCAGCCTTGGGGAGCTGTTAGCGCCTGAACCCCACCCGGGTCTGTTTTCCTCCTTTGTGTTGGAAACTTGGTATGTCTGTGTAGTCACACTTACGTTTTTAACTCTGGGAAGTTTTCTTGAATTATTTTCTTATTTTTTTGAGGGGCCTCACACATGCTAGGCAAGTGCTCTTCCACTGACACCATCCCCAGACCATCTTTTCTTTGTTTTACAAGTTAATTAAATTAAACTGATACATGAAGACAAAATACACACATTTATTGGGCATTAATGTGATGTTTGTATACACGTGCAATGTTTAAATCAGGATAAACATGTATTATCAAATATATGCCATTTCCTTATGGTGAAAACATTTAAAATCTAGCTTTTTGAAATATGCAATACTTTTTTTATTTTTGTTTTGACAGTATATAGCCCAGCAGTTCTGAGGATTAATATCCTCAGCCCTATTTTAACTTTTTTTATTTTGAGACAGCATCTCACTAAATTGCCCAGGTGTGGCTTGAATTTCTGATCCTTGTGCCTCACTCTCCCATAGTGCTGGATTATAGGCGTGTGCCACCACACCCTGCTTATTATTTGATCCTGTCTGTCTTTACCCATAGGTCAGCTTTTCTCCAGTCTGTGGTAAGTGCTGTTCTACATGAGATCCACTTTCCTACATTTCATGGGTGAGAAGTAGTGCTTAGTTTTTTCTTTTTCTTTTTTTTTTTTTGTCTTTTTAAGAAAGGGTCTCATTATGCAATTCAAGCTGGCCTTGAGCTCACTTTGTAACCCAGGCTGGTCTGAAACTCAAAATGATCCTCCTGCCTCAGCCTCTCGAGTGCTGGGATTATAGTCATGCATCACCACGCTTGGCTTTTATTTTTCTTTACCCAGTTTATTTCACTAATATGATAATCTCTAGTTCCATCCCTGGTGTTGCAAATGACAAGATTTCATACCTTTTTATGTCCAAATAGTATTTCATTATGTATGTAGGCCACATATTCTTTATCTGTTCATCCACTGATGAATAGATTGTTTCCATTTCTTGGCTTCTGTAAATAGAGCTGACATGGGAGTGGAGTGCAGGTGTCTCTTTTGTACACTAATTTCATTTCCCTTGGGTATATACCCATTAATGGGATTATTGGGTCATATGGTAGTTGTATTTTTAATTTTTTGAGGAACCTCCATGATGTTTTTCATAAACACTCTAGAATTTACAGTTATATTGACAGCACATAGGTTCTCTTTTCTTTACAACTTTGGAAGCTTTTGTTATATTTTGCTCTTTTGATAGTTGCCATTCTCATTGGAATGAGGTGATTTTTGTTTGCGTTTCCCTGATGATTAGTAATGTTGAGAATTTTTTCATGTTTTCTTTCCCTTCCCTACCCCTGCCCTTTGCCCTCTGCCCCTTCCTTTTCCCCTCTCTCTTCTTTACTAGGGATTGATCCCAGGGTCTTTACACTAAGCTCCATCTCCAGCTCTTACTATTGTTACTATGTTGTTTTTGAGACAGGATCTTGGAATGTCACTGAGGTGCCCAGACTGTACTTGCACTCCTCCTGCCTCAGTTTCCCAGAGTTCTGGGGTTTTATAATTCTTTTTGTGGTAGGATTTTATAGTTATGTTTTGGAGAAATGTCTATTTAGGGATGGTCTTTTTTTAAATTGGACTCTTTGGAGTCTTGAGGGATATTGACCCTTTTCATGTGTATAGTTTTTATCTTTTCTTCCTGTAGCTCTTAGATGGATGTTAGACTTTATGAATATATTCTCTAATTTTCTAGTTTCTTTTCTCTCCCACTTCCCATCTGTTTTTCTGTTGTTTTTGTGGGTAATATTCTGATCCATACTCCCAACTCATCATACTTTTTTCCATTTGTGGGTTCCTATTTAAAGCATTTTTATGTGTAAGGGGCCTTGAATTGTTTTCTGAACTTGCCTCCTTCCCTCCCCCCTTGTCCCTTTTTAAAAACAGGTTCTTGATTCATGTATGTATATGTGTGTGTGTGTGTGTGTGTGCATTTATTTATTTATATTTATTTATTTATTTATTTTTTTGAGGCAGGGTGTTGCTGTGTAGTTCAGGCTACCCTTGAGCTCACCATGTACTGCAGGCTGGCCTTGAATTCATAGCAGTCCTTCTGTCTCAGTCTCCTGAGTGCTGGGATTACCAAAGTGTGCCATTATGCTTGGCCCATACATCTTTTCTTGCTGAGGATACTACCAGAAGATTGTCTTCTCCCAGTTTTTCAGGCATAGTCTATTTTACAGCCCCTTTTCTTTGTAATTCAGTATTGCCTGGTTAGAGTCTTTTTTCAAATGTTTGATTATTCTTGGCTTCTTCTTATTTAAGAGATGGGTATGAAAAGCTCTCTGAAGTTCTGTGCGTGTGCAGGGGTATGTGGGAGGCTGGTGATGTGGAGCTCCTTCTCATAGCCAACTTGCTTTAAAGAGTGGGCTAGAGTGTCTCCAGTTCCTTATTTCATAGCCCCTTTTTTAGATTAAATTTTATTTTAGAAAAGTTTGCATGGGCATAATTTTAAACAGTGTGCCTAAAATTACCCTTTCCCTACACACATCCCTTAGTCTTTCTCTTTTTAGTTTTTCTTTTAGCTGCTTCTCATTTAGTCTTATTAGATTTTTTTTTTCTTATTTACTTTTTAGACAAGATCTCACTATGTAGTCCAGGCTGGCCTCAGATTTGCTCTGGTCCTCTTGCCACAGCTTCCTGTGTGATGGGATTGCAGGCGTGCACCACCACACTTACAGGCTTTTTGATTCTAAATATTACATCTTACATCATTTATAGGAGCTGAAGGCTTAGCTCATGATTTTAGCTCTGCCACTCCATTCCATCCCAAACATGCACCAACACCCATCCTGGTACTAATCTCTACAATATGAACTCTAACTGTTTTTGTGTAATGGGTCACTGTTCTGTGCATGAATTAGGTAAACATGATTTGCAGGTGAGCCATGTAATATATTCTGACTATATTTTCTCTATTATAATTTGTTTTTCCTAAAATTAGTCATTGCTTCATTCCTTTTGTTTGCTTAGTTTTTGTATTCCTATCACTAATTCAGCCTGAAAAGGTCCAGCAGTATTGCAGAACTTCAATGTTACACACAAAGGTTTGACTATCAGATGTTTTCCTCAGAGCCCTTAATCCTTCTCTTGTCCAGTCTGGAGTCTGCTGTCCAGGTCCAGTCTGCTGGATGGCTCTCCCTCCTCATGTGTCTGAGAATCCCTCTCATTCTGGCCTTTAAGCTGGGTTGGTACCTGGGGCACTGCAGGCCGTCTTTTTCCTTTGCCTGTTCCTTACTTTTGGGAAACATCCTCTACAGGTCAGTGTATGAGGATTTGGGCGGGGCTTTGTGATGTTGTATGTCTGAAAATGCCAAGGACTGGACTGCTGTTTTGTCAAGGAAGAGAATTCTAGATGAGAATTCTTTACCTTTAGAGTCTAAAGCCACTGTTTTTCGGCTGAATTCTACTTCTTTCTTTCTTTCTTTTTTTTGTTCTACTTGTTACCTACTGTGCTATTTGACACCTGTCCTGTTATATGATGCTCCCTTGGTGGTGGTTTTTTTTTTTTTTTTTGGTGGGGAGGAGGGGTAGTGAAGCTTTCAGGGATTCTTTTTTTGCAGGTGCTCTAAAATTTGATGATATATCTGTGGGTTTTTTATTTTGTCCCCCCCACCCCACTTTCCTTGGGCCAGGGCTTTTCAATCTGGAAGCTTCTTTCAGTTTATTATAACTTAGTATTGCATAATTTCCTCTGCTCCATTTTCTTTTTATCTTTCTTTTATAATTTTTCTTGATTGGATGGCACATCTACATCAAACTTCTGTTATTTTTATTTTAAAAGTTTTGGCCGGGAGTATAGCTCAGTGGCACAAGTGCCCGCCTGGCAAGTGTGAGGTCATGAGTTCAATCCCTGGGTACAAAAAAAAAAGTTTTAATATTAAATTTTTTGGTTCTGTTTTCTGGAAGAACTCTTTTATATTCCAACCTTTATATTAGAACACTTAAACTCCTGCTAAGATTCCTGAGGTCATTGTTTTTGATGTCATGTTCACTTTTTTCTTTTTTCCTCACCAATTTTTCAATTTTGTTTTTAAATTTTTCCCATTTAAGTAGTTTATGTTGTTTGAGCAGTTATGCCTGACTGTATCTTGTAATCTGAGGAACTACTTTGATGATCACACTATGCAATATATTAACCATTGTTAATTTCCTATTATCCTGTTGTGAAATTCTGTATCATTGTTTCTATTGGTTTTTCCTCTTTGAAAAAAAAAAAAATCCTTGAGAGTTCTATTTCTCTGCCTAGCTTTTTTAATTAGATATCTACCAGTGCTTTTTCTCTGTCTGTTCGTTCTTTTTCTTTCCTTTTTCCAGTCTGTGGATTAAACCCAGGATCACCTACCACGGACCTGTATCCCTAGCCCTCTTTGTTTTTTATTTTGAGGCAGGATCTCACAAAGTTGCCCAGGCAGGACTCCAGCTTGAGATCATCCTGCTTCAGCCTCCGTACTGGTGTTACAAAGGTACACCACTGTACTCAGGCCCTGCTCAAGTTAGGAATGAGTCCCACAGTGCTCCCTGGAGCATGATATGTGTGGAAGTCCATCAGCCGTAATCAGATGTGGACTCAGCTGTTTCTCTGTAGATCCCAGGCGCTTCATCCCTGCTGGCCTGCTGTGTGACCCTTCTCAGATAGTGTCCCAGTCTCTTGCCTCAGGAGCAGGCCTGGCTGCTGCACACTGGGGACATGGGGACAGGCTCTGAGCGGAGTTCCACCTGCACTGAGAGGCCTGCTCCAGATCCTGTTTTCATCCCCAAGATGTCACCTTGACTTCTGCTGCTTCTGAGGTCTCATTCAGGCCCTTTTGCTGCTCCTTCTCCAGACAGCAGCCCAAGTGCTTTCAGAGTAGGAGAGGAGCAACACCCTCCGTGTGGACTGGAGGAGAGAATCGCTGGCTAACAGCAGTGTGCGGAGCCCTGGGGACACCTTGCCTGATGGGTGCTGCCTTTGCTTTCTTCCAGGAGGCTTCAGGGCAGGCCTGGTGGGGCTGTCGCTGGATCCACACAGGTTCCCCTGGGCTGGCCCTCCTCATACCGTGCAGCTGGCTGCCAGGACAGTGTGCTGATGTGGAGCTAAGGAGTAAGGCCGAGACCTTACTGCCCCTTCTCATCAGTCTGGAGTCAGGCAGCTCCTCTCCCAGCTCATTCTGTATTTGCTCTGGCAGTCACACAGGTCTCCCCAGGTTTGAGGAGAGCAAGGGCTGACCTCAGTCCTCAACAGAGACATCCACGTTACACTGCAGAGGCCCTGGGGTTGGGGTGCTGACGGACCCTGGACTCGGGGAAATGAAACCTGCGGCCCCAACCTCAGCTCCTTCTGGGTTCAGCATCTGTCCTGCCCTCCCTGCTCTCTAGCCACCAGGATTCATCTCAGCCAGTAATTGCTCATCTTTATCCACTGCTCCTGAAATTTTACTGGCACTCTTTGCACGATGTCATCTTTTTGTCCTTTGTCCTTTAGTAGGGTTTGGTTTGGGGAGAAAAAGAATATAAGCCTATGTCTTTAACCCAGATTTATCCTCTATGATTGTTGTTTTGGTCTTTTTGAGACAGGGTTTTGCTATGCAGTTAAGGCTGGCATTGAACTCACTGTAGCCCAGGATGAGTACAGGGATTACAGGTATGCACCACCACACCCAACTATATGTTTTATTTATTCATTTCTTTCTTGGTCAACTTTGCCAAGGTCTGTGGATTCGTTTAGGTGCTCCCCTAACTATGTTCTTGGCTGTGTAGATTATTTTTATTCTGTCATTAATTTTTGATCTTTATTTCTTTTCTTTAGGCCCATTTTGCTCATCAGTACTTTCTAAGATGGATGCTGCCATTAGTAATTTTTTTTTAAAAAGCTCATAATGTTCAGTAGAACTTCTATGCTGAGGCCATGTCTGTTTGCTCTACCCATTGTGTGGTTAGTAAGCTCTTGACTATGACTAGCGTGGCCTGTCCTTTTACTGAATTTAAATGTAAATTTAATAATCTCATGTGACTAGTCTGTATTGTATTGGGCAATACCGCTCTAAGTCAAGACTGAATTAAATTTTAAACTGAATTTATTTTTATTTGTGAGTTCCTTCAGTTACTAACGAGAGGCTGCTGTAACTAGTGGGAAACACTGGCTTTGTTTGTCTGAAAAATATCTTTATTTTAAACTTCATTCTTTCAAACAGGATTTTGAAAACGTATACTTATGAGTAATTATGGTGTACCAGGCACTATTTTAAGTTTTATAAATATTAAAATTATAGTGATATATTCTACCTTTTTTCTTCTATATTTTCCATCTTTGTGTCTTGCTGCAGATAATTGTCAAGTGTGTCTTTTTCTTTAAGTACAGAGGACAAGCATGCTTATTTCATAGTCTGTAGATGATAATTTCAGGATCTGAGGTCTATTGTTCCAGCGGCTGTGTCCTCTTACTGCCTTCTTCCCTGGTGTGCTTGGTTGTCTTTTGTGTACTGGCAATTGTGTTTGAAAAACCTTTGTGGAGTCACATGGGGCCTGCAGACTGCCAAGAGAAGACTTTGTCCTGTGCGGGGACCATGGAGAGTGTTAGCCTGGAAGGCTTTCAGTAGCATCCAGAAGCATTCAGGCTTTTTTGTGGTCCCATATGGAGGGAGGTTGGTGCAGGAGCCCATTTTTCTCTGACTCACCACTGCCCCTGTTCCCTGCTCAGCCCCGCAGTCCCTGCCCTGCTGTCCCCTTCTCAGCTGACACCCTTGCTACCTGGTACAAAGACTGCTCATCCTTATTCACTTTGGTTTCTCTGTGGTGTTTGGGTTGCTCCTTCCTTTCCCGAAACTTCTTCCTCAGGTCTCTTCTGGGTATTGTGCCCCTCGCCCAGCCTGCCCAGTCCTTTCTCTGCCTTATTGTGAAATCAGATGTTCCTGGGTACCTGGACAGAGCCCTCTTGCTCACTTGTGGCTCCACATTTCTTCTATGTGATCTGTCTGGGCCAAGAGCCCTGCTTCTGCCCGGGACTCTGTCTCCAGGGCCCACTTTAGCCGGCTTGGTGGCTTCACCTGCTGGGTACCTGTCTTCACCTCTGGGAGGGCCTTTTGATGACTCAAGACACCTGAAGGAAGGTTCTTCAGGCCTTCCTGTCGCTGGTGCCACATGGTCTCTCATCAGTACAGCTGGCTGTCAGGGTCTGGCTCAGTGCTCCTGGGCTGTCTACTCTGAAGGAACCTCATTAAATGCATCCTTGCGCCCTACCCCTGTGCTGGGCAGGTGTTGGTCACAGGGACTGTCCGGATGAATCTGAGCACTGTCCGGATCCCTGTGCCCCTGACCACCTGCTGTCACTGTTGGTTACCCCCAGATTATCTGTTATTCTTGCCTCGCTCACTTGTCTACCTCACTGGCTGATCAAACTTATCCTTTGTGTTTGCAGCCAGAGGCCTCAGGCCTCCTTTCTAAAATGCAAACAGGACCACATTTCTCAAGCTAAAATTCTTCAGTGATTTTCTACATTATCCAGATAAAGTGAAAACTCTGGAGTTTGAGCTGGGCATGGTGGTGCATCCCTATAATCTCAGCATGCTTGGAGGCTGAGACAGGGAGACTGCAAGTTTGAGACCAAGTTGGGGAGTTTAGTCCTCTTTTGGGGAGCAAGCCCAGGAATGTAACCCCATACTCTCTTATGTCATCCAAAATACCACAAAAAGCAAAGAGATGGAAAACAACCTCCTGAGTTTGCTGTAGAAAGTCTGTTTTTTCCTTGCCATTCACTGTGGGCCTTATCCTTAGATTCTCTTTGTACAAGTCATTTGAAACTATTTGTGCTCCTTTCCTCACTCTGTGCTTTAAACTCTGGCCATTCCTGTATCTTGGCACGTCTCCTATGCTCTGTTCTGGGCCAGCCTGGCTTGTCCTTCAAACTAGGTCAGTGCTGCTTCCCTGGGAACTGAATAGGAGAGGAACAGAGAAGGAAGTGGTCCTAAGAGCCACTTGAGGTCCTTTTTCAGCATCATTTCACTACACAGGACCACCCTGCCCTTCTCTTGATTCTCAGGGTCTCTTTTTCCCTCTTCTTGCATCAGGGCCAGGCACAGAGAGGGGAGGATGGACACAGCCCTCTGAAGCGTTTGGTTAGCAAGTAGACCTGATTCTTGTGATCACATGGCACCTAGCATCTGTGCCTACTGCGTGCCACCCATGACTGGTGTGAGATGGACACATGCTGGCAACATTAGAGCAGGCTCTGATGTGCGTCAGCTGTGCCTTCAGTGTTTAGTAATGAATGAAACAGTTTGGTACAGCAGAGCACCCTGGTGAGTAACTGTGGCAACTGCTCCCCATTGTGACAAGGGCCTGCCAAGTTAGGGTGGCCAGTCAGCCTTTAGGAGGGGCAAATGAGAAGTGGTTTCTACAATCATGGAATGTCAAGAAGAAATGAGAGCTAGGAACTCAAGTAGATCTGTAACTTGAAAACTCACTTTGTGATCCAAATCTGTCCCTGAGGTCTACCATGGGGGTGATTGGGTTTACTGTGAGGGTCATGCAGGAAACCACAGGACTTGTGTGCTTTCAGCATGGTGTTGAGATGCTTAGTCTTGACAGACAGAGGCCTTGGGACAGGCATGGCTCACTGTTGGTATATTTGTTGTTGATTTTAAAATGTGATAAACAGTTTAAAAGTTATGTAAACTTGTTTCTGTATTTCTGCTTTAAGTGAAATTTATGAGTTGAGCCTTGCTCAAATGTTGCTGACTTGATGAAACATTGTAATTTTTCAACAAAGTAATTAAATGTGAACTAGATTTTAAGGTATTTTCATTCTATTTCTGTTTTTTTCAGAAGCACCATCAGTGGAAGATGCAGAAGAAAAACGCAAACAATACACCATAAAGGAAGAGACAGACAGGCTACCCAGCAGTGTTAAACCTCGACAGCAGCCGAGTGCCTTATTTGCCAGAGGGAACAGGAAAGCAGTCAAAAGTCCCCAAAGGTCATCGAGTAAAATAAAAGAAAACAAGCACCCATTTGCTCTTTATGGCTGGGGAGAAAGACAGACAGACACTGGGAGCCAGAAGACCCACAATGTTTGCGCATCTGCCCCTGTGCACGAGGTGAGCCTGGGCACCACCTTGGGCCATCGGATTACTCTGGAGATGTTATGGGGACCAGGGAGCCCAGAACTAGGCCTCTGCTTTATTAACAGGAGGGTTCTCTGTATTGGTTGCTTGGAAAACAGGGGTTTGGGGCCAGTTGGCAGCTGGTGCTGGCAGGGTTTATTGACCCCACACTAGAGAAGCAGGTGACATTATAGTTCTTCACTTGCCAGGGCCTAGGTGTGCGGAGGAGGAGCACAGCCAGGGCTGGCACCTGCCCGCTGGGATTTGTCACTAACTGCTTGAGAGGTCTCCGTTTCCTTCAGATTGGATGACCTGGCACCCTTGCCTCCTATCATTGGTGCTTCTGATTGCCCAACACCTTCTGGAGACTTCTCTTTGCTCTTCTGAGCAAATAGCACCATTTTTAAATTTGTTCTTGTGTACATTTTGCCCCCAGGAACTAGCCTTCTGACTCACTTTGTTTCTGTCAGAACCTGAAACATTTCAGAGGAGGGGACTGTGTGCAGTTATGGAACAACTGTGTATTAGCATTATTGCTGTGACTGCAGCCAAAGCAAGGGATGCATTAAAAGACGTAGGAAGAGGGGGTGCAGACTGGGAGTTGTGATTAAACGATCAGTCTCACTGAACAGACTCTGGGCTCAGCAGATGGTGTTATTTGGAGTGAAATTTGAGATGAGAGTCTGTTCTAACAAAGGACCTCTGACAAGTTTCTGAGATTGATTTAATAGGATTTATCCTGTCAAAGGATAAAGGATGGTAAAATCCCTTGACATTGCTTTGTGTACTGCTTTAAAGTATTGCAAGTTCACGTAATGACACTCTTATGTGTATTTTATGGAAAGCAGTTCCAGCGGGTTCCTGGAGGTAATTCTAGAAGCATATACAAATTAGTTACTTAACACTTCTATCTAAAAATGGAATTTTCTGTGGTTCAGTTTTGCTGTCACTGCCTATGAGCGAGCCATAGCATCAGGTAGCAGTGATTTTCTGGGGAAGCTTTTATACAGAATTATAAACAGAGAGGCAGGGCTTAATGCCCTGTTTCAGGCAGCCAGGGGGTGTGTAGCTTCACTGTGGATATTCTTGAAAATTCATACCAAAGCCTCCTAAGCCATTAAACTTTATTTTTCAACTCTCCTTAGATTCATGAGTCAGCATTACGAGCCAAGAGCAGAAGACAGGTGGAGAAACGGAGACTGGCTGCTCAGCGGCAGCGTGCGCACTCAGTGGACGTGGAGAAAAACAGAAAGATCAAGACCTCCACGGGGCCCTCAGCAGACAACCCCTGGGTGACTGAGTACATGCGGTGCTACTCGGCCAGGGCATAGATAAGACACGAACTATTAATCCAGAGTGGACTCAGGTTGAAAAACCAACTGGTTATGCAAGGCTTGGTTTAGGGAATTTACAAAAGATAATTTTATTTTGATGAATATTGGTCACCTACCTCAGCAGTAGGACAGACAGTTGAAGCCATAGACATTTGGTTATTTATGAAGATGAGTCCCTAAATCTCTGATATTCTTGTAAGAGTTTTGTTTTAAAGCATCTTAATCTTTTAATACACTGACACCAAATGCCTTTAACCGGCTGCAGATGCTTACCACCCCACATCCTCCATAAGCAAGATGGAGCCCCTTGTCATCCTGTTCCCAGTTACTTCAGATGCCATGATAGTAAGATTGTTCCATCCTACAACGTGAGACTCATTTTTACTTACTTCAGTGTACTTCTCTTTGTGAAAAAGTATCTAACAATTTGTAACAAAACTGAAACTTTGGTAGATCCTGAGACATCAACTTGTATTTTAGTTCACATCCCTTTTGTGTAGATTGTGATACTTAAAAATTATCTGGGCTGGGTGAGGGTCACTTATTCTCTTTATATTATCATCTAGGCACTTAATAGTGTAATAGTTCAGATACATTCCAGTGAGTGAGTGGCAGTGCAATCTGTGTGCAGAGTAGTAATGAAGCTTCTTTTGAGTCAAAGAGTGTCACATTTTCTTAATTGCAAGATGTCTTTTTAGAACACACAAGGTACAGTATGGTCTTTTGGCATGTACCCATTGTGGACGTTTGCCTCTTCTGTAGTAGCTGGCCATGATATTGGGCACTTAAAATCTGAAGTTATATAATACACTGAGATTGTCTGGTCCACAGAGGGGAGGGTGGCAATAGTGAGACACCCATTAGGGATGCTGCTCATCCCTACCATGTCCCTTGGCTGTCTCCACTTTTTCTTCTGCAGAACTCAACACAGTCCTGATGATGTACAATATTCACACGTTAGGTTGAATACATTATTATTGATTCCTGGCCAGTGGATCGTAGCTACACCTTAATGAGTGGTGAGTCATGTAAATAGTGCTTCTTCCCTTTAATACAACTGCTTTTAGGGTAGAAATAGTTTTTAAAAACACTGGTTTCTCATCAAATGAGAGTATTCTCTGTCCTGCACAAGGGAGTCTCCTACAAGGATTTGTGCTAAGTTCTTCACAAGATCAGAAAGGTACTATGCCCTGCCCACTTAGCACCTGAGGATATGTGGATTAAAGTTTGGTATTAGATGTGAGGTTGAGTTTTTTCTTGGTATTTTTATTCTGGGTCTTTGAAGTATGATAATTTTCTGAAAACAAGTTGGTTTGATTTCACATAAACTTGTCACACTGTCATCTGGTAACTGTGTTGAGCTTTAAAAATGCAAATACTGAAGAATTATGAGGAATTAAGGAAAAAAAACCCTTTAAAATATTTGTATATTTTTGTATAGTCCTTTCATGTAGAGAATTCTAGTCAATGAGATGTATATTTATGAGGAAATCCTGTATGTTGCTCATAATTTTGGTGGATTATGGTGCTAACCCTTTTAAGTCTACACACTGCAGGTACCCGAAGATCATATGAGTGTGGCAGTTTTGACAGTGAAGCTGTTTTGTGAAAACTTCCTGTAAAGCCATGTCTCACAGGTTGTTTTATCATCCATCATGAGAGAGTCATCTCTGACAGTGTCCGATGGATTGGGAGTGGAGAAGCCCTTGTGGGTGGGCATCCCTGCTGCCCAGCCCCACCGGACTGCGAACACCTGGACGTTCTTGCTTGTTTAGAAAACAGACCTGCATTTGTGCTTACCTCTAAAAGCTCCAAATGAGGAGGTGGGCCTAGAAGACAATATTGTGCATGCCCTTCTTTTTTTTTTTTTTAAGTAGAACACAAATTTTGAAGAATTTTTAATGCACTCAACAAATGAATCAGTATGAATTATGACTCTCCATCCTATGTTCAAATCATTAATGGTTAAGACTTTTTTTCCCTTTTTAAAAGAGTTGTAACTTCTTTTGATAATTAAAATTACCTATGAAATTTTTAAAGTTCTAATAATTTTATGGTCATAGTTTTACGTACTCTAAGAACAAATGTGGTTTTAATCATGTTCCCAATTCTTGGGACAAATTGCAAGACAGTGAGATAGTTCAAAATTACCTTTTATGTTGGAAAATATCTAAAATGTTTGAGAATCCAGTGACATTTAAAAAAATACAAAAGATTTTTTAAAATTTTTGTTTTTAATTAAAACAATTTGCACTAAACAGTATTTTTCGTTACTTTTACCTGAAAATTAGTAATAGAATATTGAAGTAATAATGTCTAGCATTCTATTAGGACCTGAGTGATTGGGAAGAAATGTGAATCTATTCTTCTGACTATTCTTGTTCAGGAGGTATATGAGCAGGTTGCTTCTGGTTCTGTTTGTGCTCCCACCCCATAAAGAAATTCCTGAGCACTTTTTTTTTCCCCCCGGATTGAACCCAGGACCTTGGATATGCTAATCAAGCACTCTACAACTAAGCTACATTCCCAGCCCTTATTTTTGAGATAGGGTCTTGCTAAGTTGTTGGAGCTACTCTTGAACTGATGATCCTCCTGTCTCAGGCTCTCTAGTAGCTGGGATTACAGGCCTATACCGCTGTGCCCAGCTTTTATTCACTTTAAGTTAACTGAAGGTGTAATTGGTTGTAGATAATCTGACTTGCACACAGTGCAGTATGTATATGTTCATACCATTCCATATATAGTATCTTTGTAGTCAGTTGTTGGCAACTCAGAAAGACTGTACGTTTAGGCTGTGGGACTTAACTAAAGTCCTAACAGAGCAAGCAAAGTGGCTGTTCAGATATTGGTAGTTTTAATGTCAAACAAAGAATGCTGTATAATTTTTCCAACCAAAAAATTGTAGCATCTTCCCCTGTCCCTTTAAACTGACTACTGTAGAGGGCATAAACTTTGTAAGTGGAATGTTAAGAGTTCTTGGTGCTTACAACATCTGAAAGTATTACTGGCCGAGGGTGAGAAGCAAAGCACGTACTGAAAGTGAAGCCAAGCTTCTTGGTCAGGTTGACTGCTTTGGGGATAAATAGTTCATGGTTTGTATATTTAACTGGATGAAGCCAGTGCTTCAGTTTTTGGGACTGATTTTGCAGTGCCTGACCCATAAAAGGTCCTTACGGTGTGGTCTATGACCAGTTCCTATTAAAAAAGGTGATCCTGAAAATATGACTTGGCTTGGATTTAAAAATACTTGTTCTTGAAGTGGGCCTGCCTTTGTACAAGATGAGTTATTCAGGGTAAGGGTGCAAGGGCTATGTTTAGAGTTTCACCTCAAATTTGCTTCTCCCTGCTAGTGTGAGATGGAAAACAATGCTTGCTCTTTCAATAATTATTTCCACTTTAAATTCCAGATTCACGAATGAGGCCATTAGACAGCTCTCTGGATAATAACAAAATAGTATTTAGGGGAGATTCCCTGTCACTTTAAGCTTGTTTTGAGCAACATATTCACTAAAATTATGGAAGAACAAAGACTTAAGCACATTATAATCACAAAACTCAGACAATGGGGGCATTGGGTTGTATTTTCTAAGAACTATGTACTGTTTTTAGCTTATATTTAATATTGTATATATTTGGAAAAATGTGAATAAACTTAATTAACATTAAAGGTAAATACCTTGTTTTTACTTCAAGACAGGGTCTTACTGTATAGCCCAGGATGGCCTTGAGTTTGTGTGATAGCCTGCCTCGGCTTCCTGAGTGCTGGGATCAGAGGTGTATACCACCATGCCTAGTTCAAGATTTCTTACTGTGTAAAGAATAATTCTGGTTAATGCGTAAGTGGCTTGAAGAAAGTGGTCACACTGAATCCTACATGGGTCTCATTAGATATATGTTTAGCAGGGTGCACTAGATACGTCCTGGGAGAGACATCTTCTGAATATATATACTTTGAGTTAAACTATAATATTTCCCATCTTCTATCTTGTAAGAAAATTACATGGTAATGGAACATCGTTAAAATACTTCCAAAAGAAGTACAGCCTAAAAAGTGGAAGTCCCTTCACTGGCCCTCATCCAGATTTTCCTCCCCTTCGGGGGAGCCTGGGATTATCTATGTGAACACACTTCTCTAAGAACAAAGATGTTCATCATGTATGATAAACATGCAGTTTTTGTTTTGTTTTGCTGAGACAAGAGTTACCAAATTGCCCAGGCTGACCTTGCACTTAGAGTCCTGCCTCAGCCTTTTAAGTAGCTGGGATTACAGGTGTGTACCACTGCACCTGGCCTCAGCTTAAAAAAAATTTTTTTTTGCACAAATATATAATGGTGCACATACTCTGTAAATTTTTCTATTTAACATTTTTGGGAAGGTTCTGTTTCTAAGTGAAATAAGTAAACATGCTCCACCAAACACACTGTAAAAGCATCCCACAGCTGCCCCAGGCTGAAAAGTAGCAACACGCAGATTGACACTGCCAGGATCCAACATTGGCACTTTCTCCTTTGACTTTTCAGCTTGGGCTCCATCCTGGCCAGACACAGAAGTGAGCAGTGTGTGCAGAGGTTAAAGAGCCTGGCTCAGAGGTATGTGTGTGTGCATGTGTGTGTAGGGGACTGGATAGCCACAGCTTGGAGAGTTGGTGTGTTTCTGCCCTTTTCATGCGCTCCTAGTAAACCCTTCAGTTGCCTGTGGGAGTCTGCAGAAGCCATGCATCTGATGGAGAGAAATCCACTCACGTAGAGCTGCTACACTGAAGTGCAGGGCTAGGCTAACACCCTTGCTTTTGCTGGGAGAATGGAACAGCACTGGCAGTTCCGGGCGCCAGAGAGCACTGAAGAGGGGAGAGACTGGGAAGGGATTCCACAAGGTTCCATGTGGAATGGGTCTGGGTGGCACTGTAAATTGTCTAGAAACTCAGCCACACAGCAACTCAAGGATATTGGAACTTGGGGCCTGAACATAGCCAGATCCATTGTCAACAAATACAAAATAAAAACAAAAAACCACTCTCCATAGAATTTTTTTTCCCAAGTAAGATTTTATTTATCACTATTAAAAATCTGGGTTTCAAACAGGTCCTTGGACTAGTGGTTCATACCCATCAGCTCATTCAACTTTAGCAACAGTCTCCTCTTTAGTAGCTTTTCCAGAGACTACTAACCTTCACCATGGAGCTCCCTAAGTTTTCCTAATTAAACTTGAGCTTCTTCAGTTTTTACTTTCCTGACGCCTTCATCATGAGGAAAAACAGACTAGCAAGGCTTTTCTTTCCCAGTGCCGTTTGGAATCAGTTTATTGACCACTTCAAGTCATTTGTCTGCACCTCTTGGGTCATGATTTCCCTCACCTTCTTCCAGACTTGGCAGACCTGTTAGGGCTGAGCCCAAGAGGTCTTCTGTAGCTGACTGTTACATTTTTTAGTAAAAACCAACATGGAATAAATGAAGCAAATAACCATCAGCAGTCCTGACATCTACATAAGCTTTAGTCACACCTTGGAGCACATTTTGTCATAGATAAGATACATGCCATGGAAGTTAAGCAGCTTTTGCCCTGAATATCTTAATTAGCTTGAATTTTCTAAAGGTAACTTTATCATTCTGTGGATCAGCAAGGCTCACTTTAAACACAGGACCTTTGAGCCCATCAGATGCCAATTTTGATTTGAGTCCTGGTGATGTTTTCCCACAATTTCTTATGTTGAATAAGCTGGTACTTCCACATCATACTAGTGTTTTTACTAGAGTTATTTTTTATTTTTTGACACCAGGGTCTCACTTTGTAGTTCAGGCTGGCCATGAACTCCCTGTGTAGCCCAGGGTGGTCTTGAACTTGCTGCAATCCTCCAGCCTCAGCCTCCTGAGTGCTGGGATTACTGACATGTGCCACCATGCTCAGCTCATCCCAGTCTTCTCTAGAAAATGGATTTGGCTCCCTTGTTGCCACCTTTCATAAGGTGCTTGTTTTTGCTGATCACCATAATGCCGCTATCCATAGAATTTAAATGATATTCACAGGGTCTGGGGTACAGCCCCACACACCTCAGCATTTGAATAACTGAAACTCTCATGAGGAAACAGCAGGATATCATAGACTTCAGCTATTATAAAAAACTCAAAATGAGCAATCAAACACACTTGAAATCAATATTAAATTAGAGATGAACAAATAGATGATATAAACACTAAATTAAAATATTGGAACTGAAAAATTTAAAATTTCACTGGATAGAATTTATGGCTGAAAATCAGAAACATATGTTTAAATACTGTATCGTTTCTCTGATATGAGACACCAAAAGAGTAAATTAGGACCAAAACCTATAATAGATACTGGGAAATAGGAAGAAAATGTTCAAATGGGAAGGAGACCATATATTGTCCCCAAGTCCATGTCCCCATGACCTACTCAGATGCAACTACAAGAATGCTTTACTAAGTTAGGTGTCTCAACCAAGCTGATAATCAAGATTAACTATCACAGCCCTCCAAGTTTAGTGGAAGACATAAACCTTACAGATTCAAGAAGCTGAGCAAGTCTCAGCCAGGACGAACCCCAAGAAATCCAGTCAGGCACACAGTCCTTGAACCACCACAAAATGAAATACAGCACCACTGAGAGCTAGAGGAACGCAAGAAGTTGCCAGGAAACAGCAGTTTGAATGACAGTAGATTTGTTATAGAAGCTGCTTTCTTAGTGAATTGAGAGCCAGAAGGTGGCCTGCTTCCTGAGGTGGAAGCGCTGACAGGAAGTAATTGTCAGTGCAAAACTCCATAATACAGGATTCCCACAGGAAGAGGAGAAGTGACAGCATTTCTGACTAAGGCAAACAGCTCTGGCATCCAGACCTACGCTACAGACAAGACTCAGGCAACAACAGCACCCAGAGGGTCCTCAGAACACCGGGAGTAAAGAGATCAGGAAGTGTGACTATGGGGTAAACATAGCAGGCTGTTCTCCTGAGCTCCTCGAGGCATGTTTAAAAGCTGAAAAAAAAAAAAAAGCTGGCTGAAAGTGAGACAGACCATATCGGAAGGCACTTTCGGTGTGCACAGATGTGCTCTCTGTGACAGCTTCCACAGGAGGGGGTGGAGGTGAAGAAGGCTGTGAAAGCGAGGCTTCCGCATTCCAACTGAAAGGATTTTTAAAAATAGTTCTTTTTTTCTTTTCTTTCTTTCTTTTTTTTGTCTTTTTCCTTTTTATCGGTACCGGGGATCGAACTCACGACTGCCTGCTTGCAAGGCAGGCACTTATGCCGCTGAGCTAACTCCCCAGCCCCTAAAAATAGTTCTAAATAGACTAAATTTTTTCCATCAGAATTTACAGGAGATACAGTCAATACTAAAAATGCTTAAATAACCTAAAAGACATCAGGTAAAGGGAGACAGAAAAGCAATATATGAAACAAAACAAAACAAAAAAAAAACCCCAAATATACTAATAATCTATATTCAATGCTGTCTTCGTGGGAATTGAGGGTTACTATCTGTTGAAAGGGTCAATTTATAAAGAAGACTATCCCTCCCTAGTACTGGGGGTTGAGCCAGGAGCCTTTGCATTGAGCTGAATCTCCAGCCCATAGATACGTATATATGTTGAGGGAGGACTCAGTAATTCGTCCAGGCCAGGCTTGAAAAAACTGTGATCTTCCTGCCTCAGCACCCATGTGCTGGGATTAGAGGTGTGCCCCACATGCCAGGCTGAAAACAGCATTCCCATCCAACCTGCACCCGAGGCAGCGTCTGGGCGTCACCGGCAGTGCTGACTTGTCTGCCAGCAGAGGGCGTGTTCCCCCAAGTGCTGGAGAGCACAGCCAAAACCCAACCGCATCCTGGTTCACAACTCAACCTCAATAAATTCACAGCAGTGGAAGTCATACAAAGTAGGTTTCCATCCATGAGGAAATTAATTTATAAATAAGTAACAAGGTAACAGAAAATGTGAAAGTAATTGGCAGTTGTACAGAATACTCACAAGTAAACTTACTAAAGAGGAATCTCCAGAGAAATTAAGAGTTATACATGAAGAAAAATGAAATCACACGGGGACTTCCAGGAAAATTATGAAGTGGTGAGCAACAACTCAGCCTCTCCAAGATCCCAAATGCAGACACAAAAATAACAACCTGGGGAAGAATAAGAGACGTAGATCTCCTGGAACCAGGAGAACTGAGAATTTTTCATCTATGTTCATTAAGGAGATTGGCCTCTAGCTTCAATTCAGTTGGATTCTTTTCAGGTTTTGGCATCAGGTTAATGCTTGCTTCCAGGAATGAGTTTGGGAGTATTCCTTCCCTTTAAATTTCATTAAAGAATTGGGGCTGGGGATTTAGCTCAGCGGCATAAGTGCCTGCCTTGCAAGTGTGCGGTCGTGAGTTCGATCCCTGGTACCGATAAAAATGAAAAAGACCAAAAAAAAAAAAAAAAAAAAAAAAAAAAGAATTGTTGAGGAGTAGAGGCATTACATCTTCTCTAAATTTCTTGTAGAATTACAGAAGTGAATTGACCAGGACCTGGGCTTTTCTTTATAGGTAATTTTAAAATTATACTTTCAATTTCATTGACTGATGGATTATTCAGAATTTTTTTTTTTAGAATTTATATTTTCTTGATTCAGCTTTGGGATTCATATGTATCTGGAGAAGTCCCAAGAAGAACATATATTCT